CAGGAGACTCGCTTGAGCCCAGGAGTTGGAGGTTGCTGTGAGCTGTAATGCCATGGCACTCTACCCAGGGGGATAGCTTGAGGCTCTGTCTCAAAAACAAACAAACAAACAAACAAACAAAAAACTTAGATTTATAAAAGACAAGGTAAGCAAATTAAGAGAAGACATTCTAATACTTTCCCTCTACCCGAAAAGGTTATCATGTGCACCTCAGAGGTATTCATCTTTCAGATTGTTCTAGATTGTTCTAGACAGAGATGTCCAACCTTTTTTTTTCTGCGCCACACATCAGAAGAATAAGAGTTGCCTTGGGTTGCAATTAGTTAGACAGTTGCTCATAGTAAGTGTAATGTACTTCATACCAAATGTCACTGTGTTATTTGTAAGGATACAGAGGAGTTTATTTACCAGAACTATTCTTGGAGACTATAGTATATTCATGGGAAAAGTAAAAATACATGAGATTTCTGGGGTGCTGATGAGGTTGAGATCCCTGAGGGACATGCTGGGATAGTTGGTTGCTAAACTCTTCGAAAGAGAATGTTTTCCTGAATGCTATCTGCGTATTTTCCTATAATACTCAAGAGTAGTAGCTCTTCTTTACATTGGTATTAAATAGATATTTGAGCACTATCAAATTAAAGTTGATAGGTACCCCAGTTTTTCTGAGTGGTCATATAGAAGTCGGTGTTAAATCTGCTTAATTCCAAAGCCAGGACTCTTGGCTATGTACCTTGCTCCCTTGAGCATGTGACTGAAATGCAGACAGACAGGGAGATGTGGACCAGGGGTCCTCAAGCTTTTTAAACAGGGGGCCAGTTCACTGTCCCTCAGACCATTGGAGTGCCAGACTGCAGGCCCCAGAATGAGTCGACTGGTAAGCAGGACAGGCAGCGGTGGCAAAAACACCTGACAGCCGGATAAATGTCCTAGGCGGGCTGTGGCCCGCGGGGCCGACAGAGGTGGGAAAAAATTGTGAATAGTGATTCTAAAGATTGTGCTGCTGGTAGTCTTCTCATGGGAGTATCTTACAGTAACCTTAGTGTGGTATTCAACTTCTTACCAGAACCACACATTTTTCAGGCAAAATGGGATAAGAATGAATGGATAGACATCCCCTGTTAAGACCTCTACCACTATATGTTTGTTATCCTCAGGAAATTACTACAATCAAGGAGAGATTCGTAAGAAAGAGCTTTTGCAGAGCTGTGATGTTTTGGGGATTCCACCCTCCAGTGTAATGATTATTGACAACAGGTAATTTATCTTTAATGCTGTTGATATTCTCTGGCAATAAATATGCAGTGGTACACTCAAAAGACAAAAAACTCTTGTGGGTGGATTAGAACATCTTATTTGAAGTCTTCTTACAATACTTCACATTTTTTTTAAATGACAGTGTAGCCAGGGACTGTGGGGCTCACGCCTGTAAGCCCTGCTTGAGCCAGAGTGAGACACCACCCTCTAAAAAATAGCCAGGCATGTGGCGGTTGCCTATAGTCCCAGCTACTTGGGAGGCTGAGGCAAGAGGATCAAGAGGAACCCAAGAGTTTGAGGTTGCTATGAGCTAAGATGCCATGGTACTCTACTGAGGTTGACAAAGTGAGACTCTGTCTCAAAAAAAAAAAAAAAAAAAAAAGAATAAATAAATAACAGCGTAATGAAAATAAAATTTTCCAACTTCAGTTCAGGTGTTTTGTCTTGACATAGCTACTTCTATTTACATCTACATTTTTTTTCATTTTCTTTTTTGGAGACATACTCTCACTTTGTCACCCATGGTAGAATGCTATGGCATCACAGCTCTCAGTCACCTCCAGCTCTTGGGCTTAGGCGATTCTCTTGCCTCAGCTTCCCGAGTAGCTGGGACTACAGGCACCTGCCACAACGCAGTTTGTCCGGGGCCAGGTTTGAACCCTCCATGCTTGGTACATGGGGCCAGCACTCTACCCACTGAGCCATAGGCACTGCCCACATCTACATCTTTTAAAATATCGTTATAAATTTCAAAATACTCAAAAGTATACAGAACAGTATTGTAAATACTGACATGCCTGTTACCTAAACCCAATGATTATCAAGCCTGTGCTCTACAGCACTTGCTTCATCTATCCCCACTTAACATCTTTTATGTGTATGACGTATTTCACAGAAAACCCCAGCCATTAGGTTATTTCACCCCTACATATCTATGTATGCAGCTCTTAAGAAAATGGACGTTTTGGGGGTGGCACCTGTGGCTCAGTGAGTAGGGTGCCAGCCCCATATACTGAGGGTGGCGAGTTGGAACCCAGCTCTGGCCAAACTGCAACAACAAAAAAAATAGCCGGGCATTGTGGTGGGCACCTGTAGTCCCAGCTACTCAGGAGGCTAAGGCAAGAGAATCACCTAAGCCCAAAAGCTGGAGGTTGCTATGAGCTGTGACGCCACAGCACTCTACCGAGGGCAACAAAATAAGATTCTGTCTCTACAAAAATAAATAAATAAAAGAGGAAATGGACATTTTTCACATAGCTTCAATGCCATTATCATCACATCCAGCAAAATGTACAACAACAGTAATACTTTGGAGTCCTTCCACACCCAGTCCATATTGAAATTTCTCCAAGTGACTCAGAAGTGTCTTTTTACAGTTGGTTTATTCAAATCAGGATCTAAAGAAAGTCCACACATTATAATTGGTTAATATTCTGCATTTAATTTCCTTTCCCCCATTCATCAATGGATTTGTTGAAGAAATGGAATTAGTTATTGTTCATATTCTACATTCTGGATTTCTCTGTTTCCTCAGGGTATTGTCTAACTTGTTTTTCTATCCTCCATATTTTTGAAAATAGGGATTTAGGTCTAACTTTTGGAGGCAAGAGTACTTCATGGGCTGTACTATGTACTTTGCATCAAATCAGGAGACAGGTGGTGTCTGATTATCTGACCTATAGTGATTCTAGAATTGATCATTGTGTTCAGATGGCAATGGCTGTTCCCTTAATTTAAAATCTCCCATGAGGTGGTGCCCGTAGCTCTGTAGGTAGGGTGCCAGCCACATACACCAAGGCTGGCGGGTTTGAACCCAGCCCGAGCCTGCCAAACAACAATGATATCTGCAACCAAAAAATAGCCAAGCGTTGTGGCGGGTACCTGTAGCCCCAGCTTCTCAGGTGGCTGAGGCAAGAGGATCACTTGAGCCCAAGAGTTGGAGGTTGCTTTCAGCTATGACACTACGGCATTCTACCAAGGGTGACAAAGTGAAACTCTGTCTCAAAAAAAAGAAAAAAAAGAGGCACGTGTTTGTATTTTGAAATATTATCAGGGTCTGAGCGTCCTGCAACTTTGCCAATGCATTCTTTCACAATTTCCACATCACCAAAGGGCTTCCTTTTCCCTGAATATGTCAGCCACTTTGTAAGCTGCTTCAGTGGCCTTATTTCCAGGTCTTATTACTGCTTGAAAGAATTGTCTTTATTTTTTCTTTTCATCTTTTAATTCTCTACAATATAACCTTTCACATCTCTTCCTATAAAATATTTGTGGTACTTATGATGTCATAATGCTGATAAGCATTGAATTTGGTTTTTTTTTTTTTTTTTGAGACAGAGTCTTACTCTGTGGCCGTGGGTAGTGCCATGGCTTCATCATAGCTCACAGCAACGTTAAACTCTTAGGCTCAAGAGATCTTCTTGCCTCAGTTTTTCTTTTCTTTTTTTTAAGACAGAGTCTTGGGGCGGCGCCTGTGGCTCAAAGGAGTAAGGCACCGACCCTATATGCCAGAGGTGGCAGGTTCAAACCCAGCCCTGGCCAAAACTGCAAAAAAAAAAAAAAGACAGAGTCTCACTTTCTTGTCCATAGTAGAATGCCATGAATTCTTAATAATAATTTTGGAAAAATGAACAAGCTGGTTTTATAGCATAGTGGCAAGGTAGAGTGTTATGATCCAGGTTCAAATCCCAGGCAGGGAAGTTAGGTTTAGTGTTAGGGTTAGGGTTAGGCATGGGGTTACAGGTAGGGTTGAAAAGAAAAAAGGCATGCAGGCTAACCTGGTTGGTGCTTGAACCTTGGCCGAGGTGGCAGGTCCCTCTGTGCTTTCCGCAGTGACATGGAGCTGGAGGACTTGGGGATCTGAGAGAAATGAAACGTATTTGGATGCATCTCCTCAGGAAAGTGGCTCACATAGCTACATATGTCACATCCGATCAACTCTGTGACTCAGGGGATACAGCTCTGAGGTCAGGAGAACACTGGTTTTGTGACCAGTGACAGGAGTTCAGTTTCAGCATTCAAAATGCATGCAAGGGCATGGATGTTGTAAATTATATTCTTACTGGAGATAATTTGAAGAACTCTTAGAATTGGGCACAGGAGGTATGTTACTATAGGAAAATGTGAATTATAAAATTTTCCGACCTCTGTTGTTCTTGTTTTTGAGGCAAAGTCCAACTCAGGATCAAGTGATCCTCTTGCCTCAGTTTTTCTATTTTTAGCAGAGACAGGGGCTCACTTTTGTTCAGGCTGGTCTCAAACTCATGAGCTCAAGCAATCCACCTGCCTTGGCCTCCCAGAGTGCTAGGATTACAAGGTGTGAGCCACCTTGCCTGGCTAGCCCTTTGTTGTTGAAACACTTCATGGGAAGATAGTATGGCGTGTGGCACTTGATGGGGAATTGGTAAATGCTGCTCAATTAAGGCAAAAGCTCTTTTGTTAATTGAGACACAGTTTCAGTTTGTTGCCTTTGTTAGAGTGCTGTGGCATCATAGCTCATAGCAACCTCAAACTCTTGGGCTCAAGTTATCTTCCTATCTTAGCCTCCCTCGTACCTGGGACTATAGGCAACCAACCACAATACCTGGCTATTTTTTCTATTTTTAGTACAGACAGGGTTTCACTCTTGCTCAGGCTGGTCTCGAACTCCTCAGCTCAAGCCATTGACCCACCTAGGCTTCCCAGAATGCTAGGATTATAGGTGTGAGCCACAGTGCCCGGACCATAAGCCAGTTTTTCCTAGGACATGGTAAGCTTTCCAGCTTCTGGATCTGGTTTATTTTTTTCTGTTTCATTTGCTTTGTCCTTTTCTTCAGAAAGATCCATTATGCGTATGTTGGATCTTTGTCTTCCATGATTATCATGTCTTCTATAATCCATATATCATTGTTCTTTTCAATTTTGAGATTTCTTCAAATTTTTCCATCATGTCTCTCACTTTAATAGTCATACATTTATTTTGTCCTTTCATATTTGCCAAACTATACTAATTTCCTTCTATTATGCAAAATTCTCTGCTTAGAAGCCTTACATTTTTTTCTTTAACACTTCTTCTTGGTTTTTGTTTTGTTTTGTTTCTGTTTGTTTGTTTTAGATATCAAGCTGGGAGCAATTCTTGTCACCTACTGGTTGGTTGTTTTTCGGTTGTTTCTCATCTTTGAATGAGGCCAGCTTTCTACTAAGAATAGTTTGGGAAGGGTCCGGGAAGGGGATGGATATTGAGCTAAGGCAATCTGAAGCTTCTGCTGAACCTCTTTGTCTTCAGTGTTGATTTATCAAGTGGATACCTATACAGAGGCACCTATATTTGTGGTATATTTTCTTATTCACCTCTTGGTACTCTTTTTTTTGTTTGTTTTTTAGAGACAGAGTCTCACTCTATTGCCCTTGGTAGACCGCTGTGGTGTCACAGCTCACAGCAACCTCCAACTCGTGGGCTTAGGCGATTCTCTTGCCTCAGCCTCCTGAGTAGCTGGGACTACAGGTGCCCGCCACAACGCCTGGCTATTTTTATTGCCGTTTGTCTAGGGCTGGGTTTGAACCTGCCACTCTCGGCATATGGGGCCGGTGCCATACTGAGCCACAGGTGCCGCCCACCTCTTGGTACTTTTGTAGGGTAAAGAGTCTCAATGTTGGTACTAGAAATAGTTATTGACATGCTTTTCCTTCAAAATCTGTATCCCCCTGACCATGTCTTGTCTCTAAATCTCATGGTGGCAATCAAAGATCACTGGATGCCACAGCAGATTCATTCTACATAGCTAATATATTAAGAGAAGTAATCTGAGATTTTAAAAAATTCTTAAAATAAAAAGAGAAATGGGCTCAGTGCCTGTGGCTCAAGTAGCTAAGGCACCAGCCACATACAACTGAGCTGGCGGGTTTGAATACAGCCTGGGCCCACCAAACAACAATGACAGCTGCAACCAAAAAATAGCTGTGTGTTGTGGCGGGCACCTGTGGTCCCAGCTACTTGGGAGATGGAGGCAAGAGAATCACTTGAGCCCAGGAGTTGGCGGTTGCTGTGAGCTGTGATGTTATGGCACTCTACCCAGGGCAACAGCTTGAGGCTCTGGCTCAAAAAAAAAAAAAAGAGAAGTGAATGGGCGGTGCCTATGGGTCATTGGGGGAGGGCCCTGGCCCCATATACCGAGGGTGGCAGGTTCAAACCCAGCCCTGGCCAAACTGCAACAAAAAAACAGCCGTGTGTTGTGGCGGGCACCTGTAGTCCCAGCTACTCAGGAGGCCGAGGCAAGAGAATTGCCTAAGCTCAGGAGTTGGAGGTTGCTGTGACCTGTGATGTTACAGCACTCTACTGAGGGTGATAAAGTGAGACTATATCTAAAAAAAAAAGAAGTGAAGAACAAACCTTGGCTGAGCCTTTGTCTCCAGTGAGTGACAGCAGTGTACTTTGTTTGTGGCCTTCTTCATCCTTCCTTTCCTTATGCAGCACTTTTATTACAAACGTGAAATTTGGCCAAAAATAAGAAGTTGGAAAGAATTGTGTGTTTAAAGTAGTTTATAGCATAGAAAAGATGAATGCCACAGTGAAAATATGTTATGATTTTTATGAAATAAAAGCTTACTGTCTAGCTCATGTGTAAAACGGCTGAATGACATGGGGATTTACCCTAAAGCTTCTGAGACGAGAGTGCTGGGAGTTCTTCAGGGTCAGAATAGGACCTTTGGGGGTGGTTGTTCTAGAAATGGAGGTTCACGTGCTCTGCTCATTAACGTAGCTAATGTTTTCAAACACTTCCCATTTTTCCCAAGGACTTTTACATTTATTGACCTTATCCACATTAGAACTGAACATTGTGACAAGCTAGAGCCCTCTCAGAAAGCCAGATGGAAATATAAAGAAAACTCAGAAGTAGAATTTTTTTTTTTTGGTTTTTCCAAAGTCTCAAAAAATAGACAACTAATATTTATAAATAAAAATAGTAGATAATTTCAAAACACAGATCATGCCAGATCTTTTTTTTTTTTTGAGACAGAGCCTCAAGCTATCCCTCCAGGTAGAGTGCCATAGCATCACAGCTCACAGCAACCTCCAACTCCTGGGCTCAAGTGAGTCTCCTGCCTCTGCCTCCCAAGTAGCTGGGACTACAGGTGCCCGCCACAATGCTCATAATGCAAGTTAGTGTCTAGAAGAAAGGTTGTTGGATCAGTCTTTCAGATCATTTCCACATAACACCAGGTTCCCAGAAGTAATTTTTAGTCATTCATAGGATGTTCCAGAGAACCCTTGCGGTAGGGAAAGTTGCAGCTGTTTGTGTGCGCTGTAATTAAAGATACCGTGTTGCTACATCTACTAGTTTGGTAAAATTGTCATGATTACATAGGTCTCATTACTCAAGACTGAGACACAGCTTAACAGGCTAATTTTTGTAATGCAAGGATTGGAGGATTTATCCTTTTTTGTTATTTCTTTTTTTTTTTTTAAATAATACGTGCTACCCTTAAATATATAGGCAATTGATGTTAAACAGTGGCGCTGAGACAATTCAATGGGGAAGGAATATTCTATTCAACAAATAGTGCTGGGACAGCTAGATACCCATAAAGTTGGATTCCTTCTTTACACTAGACATAAAAATTATCTCAAAAAGACCTAAATGTAAGAACTAAAACTATAAAACTCCTAAAAGAAAATAGAGAAATAAATCTTCCTGACCTTGGATTTGGCAATAATTTCTCAGATAGAACACCAAAAGCAAAATCAACAAAAGAAAAAATAGATAAATTGGACTTCATCAAAATTGAAAACTTTTGTCATCAAAGGACACTGTCAAGAGGATGAAAAGACAACCCATAGAACGGGAGGTAGTATCTGAAAATCACATATTTGATAAGGCCTTGATATTCAGAACATATAAAGATATATTCTGAATAAATGTATAAAAAGATAATCCAATCTATGAGGCAGCACCTGTGGCTCAGTGGGTAGGGCGCTGGCCCCATATACCCAGGGTGGTGGGTTCAAACCCAGGCCCGGCCAAGCTGCAACAAAAAAGTAGCCAGGCATTGTGGTGGGTGCCTGTAGTCCCAGCTACTCAGGAGGCTAAGTCAAGAGAATCGCCTAAGCCCAGGAGTTGGAGGTTGCTGTGAGCTGTGACATCACAGCACTCTACCGAGGACAACAAAGTAAGACTGTCTTTAAAAAAAA